TGTAGCTCTCTTCTATGGTAAAAATTTTTTCATCCGAAAAAAGAATTTCCCGATATTTTATTCCCGCGTACCGCTTCAACAAAGCGCGGGATCTCTTTAGTCTCAGTTCCATTAGACGAGCATTCAAACGATGTCCAGTTTTTCTTCGATATGCCCGAAGCCCTAAGTCTTCATTTAACACCCTTTTCACCGTGGTTCTGCTTGACCCCATCCGAAGGGCCAACAGTGTCTGCTTACGTTTGGGATTTCTTTGAATTCGCGCCTTCACAGCTTTTATCACTGCTGGAGTCCAAACATACCGAGGGCGACCACTTCTTGACCTGTCATCTACACTAGAGTCTTTATTGTATCGTTTGATAGTACGATAAACGAATCTTATGGTTATATTCAAATTTTTCAGTATGTCAAAATTTTGAATTGGCGCGTAACCGCAACGATACAACGCAATAACTGCACCACAGTCTTCTTTAAGCGTCCACTCCATATTTAAAAATGAGTAAAATTCTAAAAAGTATACATTTTTATTTTCACGAACAATTCGAAATTCAAATTCAATAAACTTTTTTGTGGCTAGCATTCTAAAAGAAAAGTTTTTACTGTGTGACAAAACTTATGACCTGACTGTGTAATTACTAGATTACAGTACAAAACTACCATACCGAAATCCGAACAGGTTTATAATGAATTCTCCAAGAAAGCGATTCTTGAATGCAAACCTTCCAAACATTAACATTACAATCATAAACTGTTACGGTATTTGTTGCAGTCTTTCGGAAGTTTTGCAAGATTTTTCAATTTATACTTATTAGTAGGATTTTAAGAACTTTCATGTTGAGAAAACGGTATTTTATGTAGAAATAGGCCCTTTGGCCGTTTCCAAAACCATTTTTCGAAACCAGTTTATAGAGAAGGTTTTTATTCTTCCTTCGAAACTAGTTCCGAAAAAGGAAAATATTTCTGCTTTCGAAACCGGTCGCTTATAGAAATATGTTTCTCTTTTCGAAACCGATACACAAAATACATTTGTTTTTTAAAAGAAAAAATCTGATATTAAAGGCGTATTTTTCTATAGGCATCTTAATACTCGTAATTAAACATAAGGGACATACGTTCCTTTATGTTTAATTATTAAGATGTAGATCACATCCCAAGTATTCTTTTAAAAAAATATTCAATGTACAGTTTTGACTTTCCTTCCATTTTATTATATGTATAGACATATAATAAAATGAAAGGAAAGTCAAAACTGTACTTAGAATACTTGGGATGTGATCTACAATCGGTACCGAAGCTAAAAATATAGTTTATATTTTTGTCTATTTGTCTGTATGTATGTCCGGGATAAACTCAAAAAGTACTGCATGGATTTACTTCAAATTTGGCACGAATATTATTAAGAAGTCGGGTCAACCTATAGACTACATATTAGTGATGTAACGAATGTCATTTATCGAACATTAGCGAATGCGAATGCGGATGCGAATATCTGGTACCGACATTCGCGAATGCGAATATTTAGTTTTTGTTCAAAATTGGCGCCAATTGTCTATGGCATGGTGGCAGTCCCGTTCGAATTGCCGAGTTGATATGAACTCACCCGACTAAAGTGTCATTCCGCTCGCGCCGGTCTTTTCGTAAACAAAACAAGTGACTTTTGAGATTAGAGTTTGAATAGTGATTTATTAACATGAGTAAATCGAATTCTAGTGAAATATGGACTTATTTCACACTTTGCGATGCTGAACGAGCTACATGCAAGCTGCGTAACAATGAATCCTTATTCAAGGGCAGGATAAACTACCACTTTTTCAAATAGTTTTTTTCTAATATTCATATTAGCAAAACATTCGCAGAGATTTTGCGAATGCTAATATGAATGCGAATATTCAAAAATATGCGAATATTCGCGAATGAGGATGCGAATATTCGTTACATCACTACTACATATTATCACGCTACCACCTACGGGAAACGAGCAGTGAACCTTTATTTCTAACTAACTCCACGCGCGGGAGGCCGCTAGTTTTTCACACCCTTTCCCCTTGAATGACCTCCCATAATATATGCCAAAACCTCTACCCTCCCCCTCTAATTTAGATTGTAATATTTTATAAATATGGTTTTAAATATATTTATGCACATAGAAAGTTAAAAAAAATACTAATAAAAGTGGCTCATATTAGTCTTTATTAATAATACTAAATATCATAAAATAGAAAAGTACTTTATTATCTATATATATATAGCAACAGCGCAAGTGAAATGATATTAAAGTAGCGTAAGCATTTATACACTATGGCGGTAACTTACCAGCAGCCTGGCCATAAGCTTGTACACCTCTAATTTTATATGATATTTTGATTTATGAATGAAGCAAACTGATGCTTAAAATATAAATATAATAAGATTGTGTGATTATTCGCTGAGTTTCGATGCAAGAGTTATTATTAGTTTTTCGAAACTTTATTCGAAAGCATATATATATTTCCTTGGTTGGAACTGGTTTCGAAAACGATCGAAGGGGACATAGGATCATAGAAGTAGGTCTCTTAAACAAAAGCAGTTACCCGCTCGCCCGCGTGGATATTTTCCTAGTTATATTTTCTTTAGATTTAAACATCAAGCAGTTACATGCTTAAAAATTAAAAGCAGTTACGCTAATAAGTTTATTTATTAAGATTATAGAAATGTATTTTTTGCAATAAATATTTATTACACATTATTACAAACGAAAATAAACAAAAGAAGTTGATTTTCTTGTAAACAAATTGTAATAAACAGGAAAATTAAATAAAATGGAATCCGAATCGGGGCTTGTAATGTAACAAACACCTACACACACTGAAATCTATGTTTTTGTAGTGTAAATATATAGAATAGCAATACAAAATTGGACACTGTATGTATGTTGTATGTGCACAGTATAAAATAATATGGTTGTGTGTACAATCTTATTATTCTTGCATGTGTCTGTGTACATGCATATGTAGTTGTAATCGAATCTCTTACTATTTCATGAGGTCCCAGTAGAAATCAAGCAAATATGCCTTCAGCAACGCACCCCTACTACAAGTTTTTGAAAATATATATCGCCCTTACCATCGTTTTCCAGTTTAATTTTGATGATCGATAGGTAATCAAAAAAGGACAGACATGAAGTGAAACTAGAACTCTTTTGTGGTGAGATAGGTAAAAAAATGAGCGAGCCTTACAGTAGTCGCGTATGATGTGTAACATTTGAAACCTCACCTTATATTAGGGAAAAAAGAAATAAAACCTACTACAAAAGGAATAAGCCATTTGAACATTATGTTCTTAAATCAAATCAAATAGCGCGCGCTATCGCTACTTCCTGTTACACACTTCCGTCCCATTTCACGAAATCACTCCCACAAATTGCAGGGAAGCGAGAGGAAAGGTGTTACACACCAAAAATATAAAAAATATATGTAATTTAAACATCATTTATTTAAAAAAAAATGATGTCTCCTCTATGAAATGTAAAACTGAAGCAACAGGAAGAGACTACAGGGAATAATATAAAATGCTCATAATGCAGGTAAAAATAGTAAGATAGAGTAGATAAAGTCCAAAATATTATTAGTTTAAGCTTTTGTGTCATTCTAAAATTCTGATTGAAATCTGTAACTTATTGAATCAAACCACAATTAATAAAGACGCAACCAAATTGGCAAATGATAGCTCTTACTGGGTATATTGAGAAAAATGTTTCAGTAAAACCCACACTGAACAAGGAGAGTACCTGTTATTTGATTTGTTCATTTTATTAAAACAACATATTTACATTGCCGTCGTGGCATGTCCAGTTTTGATACAAATAAACAAAAACTGGTAGGAAATTTTGTTTAACTTTCGTTTTTATCTCAATAGAAATGAAATACCTATATTTAAAAGTTTCGCATACTATAATTTGGTGCTTAGTCTTGTTTGTTTGTTATTTAGGTATTTGGGATAAATATTTTTGACGTCATGCAGCCATTTCTATAGGTTCACGACTCCAAATGTACACAGTAGCAGCAATTAAAATAGTTTTCAGCTCGTTTGTGATAACCTTCGTCAGCTTGCACTTGAACGATGTGAGATGTGAGTGGAACCATTTTGACAGTCGATGGGAGCAGGCCTGACTCATCAGAAACACTTTTTCACACCACGGCTTTGCCACTTATAATGTTTCCAGGTTTTTTTATAACTAAGCTAAGTATTTAATTATCGGTTATGGAAAACAGCTAAGTAATTTGTGTATATTGCAATAAGTCTATAAAAAGTTAAAAACCTGAAAACACATTGACATTAAAATCTGTTTATGAAGAAGAATTTTAATATTGATTTGAAAACTATCGAATGGATTTAATATACCAAAAATTATAAATATTTTAAGGCAAGATCCAACAGAGTAAAGAACCATTTTTTTTTAAACCGTCTTCTGCAATGTAGGGGTGTATTTTAAAATCTGGCGCCCTGAGCCATTTCCGTTTTGCAACTTTTCAAAACGGGGGTTTTAAGCGGAAAACTCTCTTTTGGAACTTTGGTATATTAGTAATAATCAGTTTAATGTAAGGTTCTTTAGGTCATTTTCGATATTTTTTTGTCAGTTATCAAAAAGATTGAAATCAAATGAAGAGAAAACAAAATACACACATCAACAGCCTCTAGGGATCCAGTACGCAATAAACTGCACACAATGCCGCCGTTATTTACAGGTTCATCATCTGCCCATTAATGTCCCCACTGCTGGATGGATTTAATTTAGGTTAATTTTCCATAATTTACCAAAACTGGAATTTTGGTTTTGGTCCTTAAGAGGTCTAACATGTTAACTAAACATAGATAAATTATTATAAAAAGTCAATTTGATAAATAGATTACTAGATTTTTCTTTGCAAATAAATTGTTTCTTCCTTGAATAATTTTGATGTGTGTAGCTTTTACACGCATAAAACTAGTAATAATGAATTATATTGACTAATGTTAAAACTCACCGTGATCATTGGAGACACTGTATTGGTAGTTGGGTATGAGATCCGGCATGTCGTGACGCGGCGGCGAGGTGGGCGGCGGCCGGTAGCCCGCCTCCACGGCTCCGTACGGGAGCGGCCACTCGCGCTCGCTCACCGACCCGTAGGTGCAATAATCGCCGCCGTAGGATAGCTGCTGGCCTGCTGCGTGAGGGTACGAACAGGAACTGTAGTCCAGCGTCGTCCCGCTCGAGCCCGCCCCGCTGCTGCCCGCCAGCTCGTAACCTGACGCTTGCGACGGCGGCAACGTCGGCACGCCCCCGCCGCACAAGTAGCCACCGCTCCCAAACTGTGGCTTCAGAGCTTGACACTTGCGCCTGAAACCGCGGGGCCGCCGCCTGAACGACCCTTCCTCGAACATGAACTCCGACGACGGATCTATCGTCCAATAGTGTCCCTTGCCCGGCCGCCCGAGGCCCTTCGGCAGCTTCACGAAACATTCGTTCAGGCTCAAATTGTGCCGCACAGAGTTCTTCCAGCCCTGATACGAGCTGCGGAAGAAAGGGAACTGTTGCTGGAGAAACGCGTAAATTTCGCTGAGCGTGAGTCGTTTATTTGGTGAATGTCGGATCGCCATGACGATTAGAGCGATGTAGGAGTAGGGTGGTTTCTCTTGGCGGCGCGTGGCAGGCGGTCGGCGTGCCGCCTCGTCGGTGGATTGTTCCTCGATCTTCATGCGTGCGCGTGCGCGTCGGAGCGCGTGTGGCCGGTCAGTGCGCGCCGCCTGCCGCCCACAGCGCGCGCGCCGCGCCCCATGCGCCCCGCTCCAGCCCCACCGCTCGCTGCGCCGTTCACACCCACGATCGACTCACTAGCTTATTGGCAAACCAATACTTACTCATGCATCTAGATGTTACATTAGTTACAAACTAACAATCGAATCTAACTCAATCTTTATTCACCCAGAATAAAATTGTTTAGTAAAAAATTATATCATCTTCTCATCTAGACCTTGGCAATTGCAATTTCTCTTTTTGAGTGTGTGACTTTCGCCACCTAAGTACCTACCTAATAGGTAGAAATTCATTTCCTAGTCAACAAGGTTCGTTGCGCTCCGGGAACGCCAGCCAGATTCACTCACACACAACTCACAAACACCGAACATCGGGAAACCGCTTAGACAATAATATTTATCCGTGGCAAGGACGCCTGTCGAACGCCCGCTCTTGACCTAGCACAATTAAAGCAAACATTTTACTAGATCTATAAAACAGTTATACGACGTTACACCAAATATTTACCATAAAGCGTAAACCAAAAGTTTTGCATTAAAGTTGCCCGATTTATTTACTCTGGATCGTAAACGAAAGTGATCAATCGACATTGATCTCTATTGTAGCGCCGTAGAGTCGATTAGGATCACAAAATAAATGTTGTTGGTGCTTTGGACCGCGGTAATAAAGCAAACGTAACTGAAAATATAGTAAACGATAGTACACAAAACACAATTAGACCTAAGAGTCAGTAGAGAGTTGATTGCAAACCAACATAAATATTTGTGTTGCTTTAATCGTGTGTAAATCCAATCATAATTCGATGATCTTCACTTGATTACCTGATATAGGTGATATTGTGATAAATAAAAACCAAAAACTTTACATTTATTGTACCTAAATATTCTATTTTTTTTTTATAACATTTAATATTTTTTTTAATTATATATGTACAGAAATAAATAATATTTAAATACAAATTTCCTAAACCTACTTATAAATAACATCCTATTTAATATTCTACCAATATAATCTATATATATCTTATATATCTATTTAATATTTTTCATCTTACCTATTCTTAAATTTGTTTATGCAATGTTGAGTAACATATCTTACGCAAATTCACAAAGAACGTATCCTTAATTTTACGCAACGTGTGGCTTGACAGAGCATCAAACTAAGGAAGTCATCAGGCACCGTCTTTGAAAATGTTTCTTTGCTGTTGTGGAATGTGTCTGTGTATTATTAAAAAGCACAACAATAGGGCTCTTGCTGATCCCAACGACAACGCAATCTTACGAAATTCATAGAGCATCGAGTTCGTTTCCCGGTACGGATGATATTTTTAGTGCAACATTAATTTCAGATATATAAGCTTATTCTGAATAATAAGTATAAATGGGTGATGAAATCTATAGTAACTTTTAGAAATCTAAACTTAGTGTCAGTTTTAACTGTTACCATATAATCACCACCATTCAATCATTATCAAGATCAAGCGAAAAGGAGTGATGTATTTCTGTAATAAAATAAATAAGTCGTTATTATCACGTGACGCTATAAACACTAGCGTCGCATCGGGCACGGCAGTCTTGCTTGCGAGACGTCGGGTTGCTGATCTGTCTTGTTTGCTATACAATCTTTGGCAACGAAACGCATGCATATCCTCTGGCGCGCCAAGCTCCGCCTCCAAGATGGCGCTGCGCACAAGCCGAGCATGTTCCCTGCCTGATCTTCCCTTCATTCATCACCTTTTACGAGCTCAGTGTTTGCTTTGAGGTTTTACGGTTTCACCTTAATTTTTGATATCCAATTAGACGTTTATTATTTCTCTTTAAACGCTGTCTTGGCAAATGTTATAACACGTTTGAGTTGCAACACAATAATACAGCTTCCAAATTTAATTATACCTACAATTTCGGTACATGAGAAAATAATTATTGTTATCATAGTTGGTATGTCCAATTGCACATATCACAATGATTAAGTTGCGCTTTTGTTATCTGAATCACACAGAACCTCACCTGCTGATCAGTAAGACAATGAAGTTTTTTACGATCTATACAAAGTTTTAATCTAAATGTTTGTTGCCGTTCTAAGAAATACTTATAATATGACGGTCAGGTGATTAAACATGAGCTAAATTAAACCGTCGGCACTTCTACAATGAAGAAACGTGTAGCCAATGTTTAACAATAAAGATGCGTCGCAGACTTTGTTCAATGCGTTTGAAGAAATACTATTTGATACTGTGAGAAATTGTTTTACACCGGAAACATCGTCATACAAAGTAAAATGTTTTATAAGCCTACAAGAGATAGTTTTATGCTTCCAAGAAGGTAACTAAATTAAGCCAATATAGGCAATTATAATATTAGTAAATAATGCAGAACAATAATTGAAAAAAGAATAATATATAGATCAAAACACTTATAATGAATAAAATAAAACTCAATTTCAGCAAAATGTTTGGTATGAAAACTCGTAACTATTAACAGCTTTTCTTTTGTGTTGAGAAGATCGTAAATGCTTTATACACTTAAATTGTACAATTTATAAGCATTTAGCCATTTCGTCATCAACAAGTTACGTGTAAATAGAGCATAGCGGATTTCCTCTGTTAATTATACGTATATCTTTTGGTAGGGTTTTTTTACATACCACGGGCATCAGTGATCCTCAATACAGATAAATCTAATAATTACTAGTTTTACCTATACTATTAATACCTAGGTACGTAGCTATAGCATTTCGCTGTAACTTGTATTTGTTTTGTGGTGAGACATAAACTTAATTTGTTGTAGTTCTTGTTAATACAGGACCGACGTTCGGGCGTCGGCCTTGTTGCTCTATGCAAAAAATTTACTTGCATCAAATACTTAAATAACTATACTAGAATGTTAAAACGTCCCCTTTTTTTAAATCAATGTATATTAAGAAAATCTAAACTGAGGTCACGGAACATGTAACATTCGAGATTTAATTCATGCTGAAGATAATGGCTTTATTGATACACAAAACTGTTCTATAAAATAGGTATTTCGAAATAGATGGATGCATAACATTAAATAAAAACCGTTTAATGCAAATCATTCGATCCGGTTCATCATCATCATCAGCCTATTAATGTCCCCACTGCTGGGGCACAGGCCTTCCCTATGGATGGAATAGGGAGATTGGGCCATGACCCACCACGCGGGCCATGTGCGGATTGGCGGGTGCTAACAACTGCAGATGCAGCCTTAACGTGCCTTCCGAAGCACGGAGGAGCTCGAGATAGTAAATTTTTGGTCACCTATCCAATGACCGACCACTGAGAAAATTGCTTAAGTTCAACGATCGCAGCCGAACACGCTAACCACTTGCGCCATTGAGCTCCTCAATCCGGTTGCAGGTACCTTAATGGTATGTTTTTTTCCACTACAACTTGGGAAGACAGATTTGTAATTTTAGTTTATAACACATTTGCTTGTAAAGCGTCTCTTATTGCACCAATTTCAATATCATAATCTTTCACATAACACACGCGTGCGGTAATGTAAAGTAAAACGCACGGCTTATTATGTTCCGTCTAAAAACGAACGATACTTTTTAAATCTTAGCAAAGAGTTTTTATGTCAGAAAGGTAGCCAACATTTTCTTAATAAAATTAACTTTGGGAGATGAAATATAATATATAAATATTTAATTCTTTAATTTGATTCATTTTGACAATAAATTACAACCATGTATCGGTAACAAATTCACAAAAATATTAATTTACTTTATTAGTAACACTGGCTGTTTTTTGTTCCTTTGCCTAAAAAAAACGTTGGTGCGCGCGCATCGCTAATCTGTGAAAAAGTTATTTCTTTTTCTTTTCGCTGTATTGTTTTTATTTGAAAATATTGTCCCGTCATGCCCTAATAAAAGAAGAAGAAGAAAATATTGTCAAGTAGTAACGAATTTATTAATTTGACACCGCCAGAAGTCGAAAAAGGCTACGCTAAGCCTCTTGCCCGAAAAATCCACGGATAGATCCTTACAGTCAAGCGTATCAAAATTTCATGTTATGGAAAACAAACAAAGGTGCAAATTCATTTTCAGAAAGTACGTACGTACTTAGGTAGTATTATTTCCTCGCAAATGTGTTATAAAACGTCGTATGACATACGTGCGGTTTGAGAATTACAGCCTCTGCCTTCTTATAGCCCTCACCTACGGCTCGGGCTAACAATATCGCCTCGGCTGTAATTCTCAACTTACCGCACTTATATATGTATAATGTACTATTATATCAAATACACATTTTCTACCACATGTGTACTTTATAATCGAACACACATTTTCTTTCACTTGCACCATATACATGAGTTATTTTCTCATTATTTGATTAAAAATCGAATCACAACATTGGAAATATATTATTGGTGTAGAAAAGCAGCGCAAAATAAATGTACTTCCTGTTTGATTCTGATTATCAGACACCAGTCACCATACTATCGGCTCCAAATCTAAAATACGTGCATCTCATCTGCCGTTTATATTGCACTATTGGAAAATGAATGGAAAGAGGAAGTGGGCTAGAAGCCTTTCGCGCATGCGTTCAGGAGTTAGACCTCCTATGAAACCTTGGAAACCTAGTAGTTTGTGCGCTCAAATTCATCGACTTTCCAAGTAGGTACTGATTGTTGTCAGACTCGGTTGTCACACCAGTGTGAAAATCGGGTTTCTTTTTACACGACTGCCCAAACTAGATACTGTAATGTTTCAGGGTTCATGTACGTATGAATATTTTTTATTCTCGTTTGTCACACTGCTAATAATAAAACAGCTTTGTAATTCCATTCTAATGTAATTCCATTATTTATACATGTGAGTATATATATTGGCACCTGAAGAAATAGAACACGAATAGCCGCTAAAGGATTTGAATTTGATGTGTCAATCAATTTATTTCTTTTTTATTTCATTGTTTATAAATAAATTATGTTAATAGCAGTACTTATTACTACCTTAACGTATGGTTAACTTAGTTATTTGCTTACACAGCAGAATATAAGTAAACAAATATACATACATACACATACAGACTTGTGGTTACCTTTTTTATACGAGAAGTTTTTATTGTGCAGCAAATCACGCCACTCTGTCTAATGTTACGGATATTGTCAACTAGCTAAGATACCTGATGTTTAGAAAATGTGCCATTTTTTCATAAATAAATATTTCCGACACTCACACCAATTAGCCTAGCCCCAAAATAAGCACTGCAAGGCTTGTGTTATGGGATGCTATGGTAACAGATAGAATACATATACTGTACATATATAAGTATATTTATATAGAAATACATATTAAATATCCATGACTGGAGTACAATTGCTCGTATTCATCACACAAACATCTGCCCCCACCGGGATTCGAACCCGGGAACTCTCGAATCGGCGACACCACGAAACCCGGCGTACAAACCACTCGGCCACGTTAAAAGGGTGGCAAACAAGCGTATGGCCCGCCTGATGGTAAGCGGCCACCATAATCTACAGACGCTTCTGATACCAAAAATATCACTCACACCGTTGACCAACGGTGACCTACCTACTACCTGACCTACCCTGACCCAATCACCAACCGTTCTATCGTCTGTACCACGGCAAGTGTTCTGAGGAGTTATTCTCTCTTATTCCACCTTCCCCTTTCCTTCAGAGGACCACGCGCGCTGGCTTACGTTGTCACCGTCTAACTGTGGCTACAATTCCAACGCGTACAAAGAAATTTGGTGACTCATTTCTTTGTCGTACTATCCGTAAATGGAATGCTCTGCCCGCTCACGTGTTCCCTCCCTCTTACAACCTGGGATCCTTTAAAAGAGGCGTGAAGAAGCAACATGCAGGCCGGCAGGGTGAGGATGGCTGGTGTGGCAGGTAGAACTGCTGTATCAGCTATCTTCGCGTCTGGACTTCACCTCCACTTAACATCAGGTGGGGTGGAGTCATTTGTCGGAACTATCTATAAAAAGAACCTCACCGACAGAAACATAACACCACCAAAAGGTAGTGTTATTTTACTGTAATCTTCTGTAAGGTGGAGGTTAGTTCCCCAGGCGGGCGCTCCGGTTCGAGCGGGAAATCAGCTATGCTCTTTCTCTCTTTTACTCCAGTGGTACTCTCATTGGATTGAATTCAATCCCGCACCACGTAGTGCCCTGGAACCATACTCGTTGACACACTATCTTACACAACTGTAGGTTACTATCTAAGAAAGTCACTACAATTCGAACGGAAATCCGCGATGCTTTTAAGTTTTCGCAAGAGTCAAAGATTTTTAAGGCGCATTTTACTCAATACTTAATTAAAACAAATAAGATTTTAACTAACAGAGAAATATATACTTATTTGGATATTTGGTAAGTAGTTAAAAACTCACTCATGTTAAAAGCGAATAAACAGGCGGAATAACGTTTTGTTTCCACTATTCCTTTCATTTATAACTAGTGGCCCGCCCTCGCTTTGTTTCGGTGTGGAGCTGAAGTGTAGCCTACAGTTTTTTTTCAAAGGCTTGTATTATACACAATGACCTCCTACATAATAATTATAAACCTTCCATCCCAAGTAAAAAATTTGTTGCGTAGTTTAGGACTCGTACCGAATGCAACATTACGTTGTTCCGATTTGAAAAAATATTTTTGTATTGTACAGTGCATTTATCGAGGAAGGCTATAGGCTATTTAATACGCTGGTATTAAATAGCCTATAGCCTTCC